TTACCATCTAGCGGAAGGTTTCGGAAGGGTGAAAAAACATATATTTAATACTTGCGCCGGGTATTTAATGTTCGGCTCCGCCCGAACTTAGACTTTCTTACTTGTTAAATATACATATTAATCGTTCAATATCTATTGCATAAAGCTATACTTTATAGTCATTGGGATTAAACTCTTCTTTGGTTGAGCATAAGAATGGATAGCGTGGATTCATACCAGTTCTACAGTGGGAGCCTGGATATGGGCCAGAACGGAATATGGGCTTGTAGCAGAATAAGCGACGGGCATAGTTGCATGTGAAGAGCACATTAAATCCATAATCGGTTTCATATAGGGAAGCGGCACAACCAACGCGATTATTGCGATCCATTACCATTTTACCAAAGTGTAAAATTAATTTGCTAGAAATATTAGAAACCGTTTTTTTACACAAAAAAAAAACTTACTCAAAGAAAAGACAAAATAAATTTCAAAGGAGGAGCATTCACTTACTATTGCGGTGGATGATACGAATCTATTTCCGCCTGTGTACAATCGTGATATTGCTCATACCAGTAAACACGTATATGTTCCTTAATATCATCGTAAATTTTGGTGCGATTGAATCTCGATTTCGTATAGAACAACCAACCGATATTTTGATCGAGCGTATTATAGCGCGCAGTGGTGAAACATTTCTGATCCTCATATATTATGCCACACTGTTTCACGTTAAATTCGGCAAAGTATGACAACTCATCATCCCATTCCAAAGTGGCCATAGCAGCAGCTGGCTCGAAAACAAGTCCCTTCGCCACTTCGTTGCGATATTTATTATGCTCACCCAGAAAAAGTTGTTGAAACTCCTCCGTAATCGGCAACATTTCAGCATTGGATGGGCAACCTGCGGCGAAGGCCTGTCATACCTTTTTTTATTTTTGGTAAATTTTGAAAAAAATCAATGCTTACCCCGGTATGGTTACAGGCCAAGACGTGTTTCTCGGCACGGCCACTACACATGTAAGCTGCGCTACAATAGTCCACATCGCCGACGGCGGCATCCACAGCTGCAGTGTAAAGCAGGGCAAAAATTGATAAATATGTAATCAGCATATTTACTTCTACTTTCGTAAACATTCTACTAAGTAGTTATAGATTTAAAACGGTTTTGTCTCTGCAAAATATAAACTCAGCTTTATATAGCGCTGATTAGATGGCTAGAAAAAATCCCCAACACAACTGTCCTAATAAAAGCAAATTAATTAATTTTCGAACCAGACATGAGCAAATCTCACGAGTTGTTATTTTTTTCGACAAAAACGCGTTTTTGATCGAAAATGGTTGTTAGAAAATGCACTATCTTTAGTTCAAAGAACAAAAAAAGTAAATACATATTACTTTCTTCATGTATATAACAATTTAAGTATGAATTTCGAATGTACCAATAAAAATTGTAAAAATGCAATTTTAGTTTCTCAAATCATAGCCATCCTTTACTCAATGTAATTTTTTTCATTTGCTGGCACACTACATAGTTTTATGACACTAGATTTGTTCATTTTGGCAACAAGACCGTTTCCACCAAATAATATTTTGAGGCATCTTAAATTATTACTATTAAAAAATCTTAAAATTTCAAAAATTACAAAACGGCTGCGTTAAATACATATAATGCATGGTGGCACAGTCTTGAAACTTCACAGATATCTTGTATTTATGTCAGCGTCCATTGCCTCTAATATGAACAATTTATTTGAAAACTTCCCAAAGTTATTAAAAAAAAAAAAACAATTATGATTGTCGCAAGCAAAAATGAGTAGTTTCGGTAGTTTTTCGCCTAAGTAAACGCTTTAAGGTAAAAATTGATCAAATGATTGATATACATTTTTTTATATTTGTTTCTGGAACTCCATTGATACATATATATTTACATTAATAAGAGAAATACTTTAGCGTTTTTTTTTTCTGTGGAGATAAAGGGAGTGACACTAAAACAAGTAATTTTTAGCAAAAAAACGGCTTAAAAAAAATATATATATATAT